TAGTAGACCACTTTTTCCAGGGGATCTGCAGTAGTGGCGGACCTTGCCATACTGAATTTTGAGCACACTGTCTGGCCTTGTATATTTCTAAGGAGAGGAACAGGAGTTGAGGTGATAACAACTAAAACAAGAAGGAGGGAACGAAGGAAAAACAGGGGTGGAAAGGGATTAAACTGGAAAGAAACAGGAAGAAACAATCTGATGTATGTTATTACACAGAAAGGCACATAAGAGATGTGGGATATGAGTTTGTGTGACCTGCTGTCACTGGAAAGAAAGCACCATCCATCATAACCTCTATGAGCCACTGTTTAAATTAGAGGCCTGGCTACCTCAGCAAGGGACAGCTAACATGAAGGGCAAACTAACCTGCCACCAGAAGGCTGCTGAAATTGGTCTAAACATTGAGAGTTTATTCTAAAAAGCATGAGTAAAACAAGTTAAACTGCTGCAAAGAGGATGATGAATGAAAGACAGCATGCTTTGGAAAGTTGACTATGAAACTTATTTGACCTTTTGACACTTAATGTACTCAAAAAACGTGTAGTGCACTCATTGCCCTTGACAACTACCATTCTTTTTTGTATTTCTACTCAAAACAAGTAGCAGGCACACAATGCTAACAAGCGCCGGCAGCTTACCTCTACTCAGCTTTGGTTTATCTACTTTGAACCAAACAACATATTAATTTTTAATAAATTATACGTAGTTTTACATAATGCATTGCACAAAAGAAACAGCCTTTTGCTTTCTAACAAAAATTCTAAACTACTCAAACAAAACTATATGAGTTTTATTTCCTTACATCAGACCTTGGGGTATACTCTAAATTTGTATTGTTTGTTTTGTTTTGTTTTTTTATGTGGGTCCTAATTTTTTTTAGCTTTTTCCCGTTTGATACTGTTTGGAGAGTTTGAGGTTTAGTGGGCACAAATCCAACAATATAATTGGAAGATCACAATGACTAGTGATCTCTTTTGTCTTTTTATTAATTAGCTAAATGCAGGACATTTTAGGGCTTTAATCTCTAAAATTTTGGTTTGTTAGAATTTAATTTAGCTTTTTGTTTATTTAATTTAAGGTTTACTAAATGAGTAACAGCATAATGGAATAAGATAACAGCATGTCAAGTAATAACGAGTTGCATACAGGGCCATGAAAAGAGAGGTTATATTCTCTCATTGTCTTTTATGAAACTGATAAAAAAAAAAAAAAAAAGCAACAGTCGGGGTCGTGAAACAACTCATAGTTCAAAACACAAAGTTGTTCCAGTTCAGGTTCATTTTAGAATCTTTGCTAAGTACGGTTTTAGAAAGCTGTATAATTGAAGCTGTTTCTTCACCTTTATCATATTAACTCATATGTACTCTTGTAAAACAGTAGTCATATTATATTTATTCAGTTTTTTTATTACAAAATTAAGTATTGTAATTTAAACTACAGGTATGGAACCATTGCCAGCTCCCAGGGATCAGTGTGGGTTTGAGGGTCTTGTTCAGGGAGCCAGAGTGTCAATTCGTGGGAGTGCGACTTGAACTCAGAACTTCTGGATTCCAAGCACAATGCCCTAACCACTAGGCCGCCACTCACCCAAATGATAAAAGATAACAAAAAGTCCTCATTTTGTTTTCTCTTACCAATGATTGTCATTCCTAACGAATACAATAAAATGAACAAGAAAGACAGGTAAAGAAAATATTTTTAATTAAAAAATTTTTATTAGATATCTTTAAGTAAAGATGTGTGAGCAACATTGATAGCATAGCATTTAAAAAAAGAGAGGCTGTTTACTTTATAATATAAAAACATATTTCACCTATGATTCAAACAGAGAAAATCTCCATTCACTCTTTTCAGATTGTGTCATGTGAGTTTGATTCATTTTAATTCAGCTTATTTATACAGCGCCAATTCACAACACATGATCCCAAGGCACTTTACAGTTCACCAGATCATAAAGTCAAATTAATTTAAAGTTTTCTATCTAAGGAAAACCCGTTGATTGCATCGACTCATTGACTCGAATGCAATCCCTCACACTAAGCATGCTTGTAGCGACAGTGGAGAGGAAAAACTCCCTTTTAATAGGAAGAAACCTGAAGTGTCTTTGCACTCGACACTTCAAATGTATTAAATACAGACTAAGACAAACAGGCAAAAAAGACTGCTCTTACTTATTAGCTTTTTTCATACACAATTGTAACTGTGCCTGGTTAGTAGTTCAGCTTTGTGTGATACCAAGTTTTTACATGCTTTATTAAACATCTCCTATATTTTAAATGAAATACCTAATGAGACGATGGTGAAGGGAAACGTGACCGATATCAATGTCATAAACATATAAAACATGTCAGTGGAATGCTATTTAGAATGAATATAAAGTATGGAGTATTTACTACACACGTGGACTGTAGGGTTTTATTTTCTTAAGCAAAAAAAATCCCAATGGACAAAGGACATCAGAACAATAATAACAGAATAATAATAGATATATAAAAATGGAAATTCCAGCATTCCTCTGTGTTTTACCTCGGATTTTATGACAATTATATATAGAATATTTGTATGATGCTTGAACATTATTGATAGCTATTGTATTATTATTGCATCTCAGTATTTGTTTACAGTTCTGAGTGGGTCTACTTTTTGTTTTCAGGAGGTTTCCTTATAATGGGAGACCTAGACTGAGACCATTTGGAGTGGCTGCCATTTGCTTTCATCTTGGCTTTATAATACGTAGTTTAAAAATGATTCCTGATATTGTTATATATGTTAACTTAAAAGGAACATCACTTTTTCCTAGTTCTACCTTAGACATAAGTGCCTATTCAGAATGTCTGCATGAAAAAGACAGAGCCCACAGATAGATGTTTTACATTTTACCATAAAATAAGGAATTTTCTTAGTATTGTTTTTTAACCTTCAAAATACAGATTGTATAGCTGAAAAAAAATTAAATAAATAAAAACTCCTACTGCCTCTGCTTATTGTTCTGGTGTATTAGTTCACCATGACCTAAAAGAAATGGAGAAATTATTGTTGTTTAGAGATCAGATAGATTCCTCTATATGCTTCTTTTCCTTACTCACAAACATATTATCAGTCTGAAATGATGCTTCTTTGATCTTGCTCAGCTTCTTGCATTTTCTTTAAACCTTACAAAACTCTGTCAAGAGCCGCAGAAGGTTTTTTCAGAAACACTGCAATGTGCCCACAACACAAAATAGAGAGAACTCAAAAAAAGGTATATAAAGAAGAATTAAACAAGTAAAAGTCATATAAATTAAGCAATGATAGATATTTACATGCATCTTATAATCTGTTACTTGCGCACATTATTTGCCCTTATGGTTTTATATATTAAATAGTTTGCTAAAGTATCATGGATAGACCTTCTGAAATCTAAACTTTCTCACTCTTAAACTGTTTTGTATTCTTGCTCATCAGTGCACTCTCACAACTTATGATTAAAATTTGAATTTCTGCTCAGAAAACCCCACTGCATTAGGTGCTGGGATAATTCAGCCTTTGTAGTCTGAAATGACAATGTAGAGCGAGAAATTGTTCTTGGCAGTGTACTTGTGTGGTGGTATGTTTTATGCAAATTTTAAGACTGTGGCTACAAGAAAACAGTAATCTCAGGTTTTATCTAAAAAAAAACAGAAATGTTTGATCCAGTTTTATTAATCCAAAAAATAAAGACGTGATAAGATTCCGACCCTGTTCTTGTACCTGTGACTTTGATGTTTTCTTTATAATGATCAATTTGTCTCTTCTGATCTGAAAGGAACGCTGTAGCGGTTTTATCAGGTATTATGCATAAGCAGCCTTCAATAAGGCAGCTTCTGTGATTTGAAATTAATGGATGGAGGTTGGCTTTTCTCTCACGACTGCTTCCGTTGTTCCTTTTCAGTACCTCTTTGATGAGCAGAAGCAGGATGACTTACTGCTTCCTACATTAGGAGGGCAGAGCACATAGTGTGAGGATGAATTACTCTGTATAACAAAATACTGCTTTTTTATATGAGCTACAAAGAGTTTTTGGATTCATCATTGTGGCTGTATTCAAGCTAAAACAGGCACAATCTATATATAAAATGAAATATGATAACCTCTGTCTGTGAGGAAAATTAATGAAAAACACCTGGTTTATCTAAAGCCATAAAAAGAGATGAGAAAATAATTTTTGATAACACAAAAATCTCCAAAGAACCCATCCCACCATATCTAATAAAGAAAGTTATGTATAAATAAAGAATGACCCATAATAAGATATTTACAGAGGATGTTTAACAGCGTGAAGCCAAACTCAGGCCATATAACTGCTAAATATGTAGAATTAACCTGTTTGACAACATGAATACAACAAAAACAATTCAATAAACATCCTATTATTACCATATCAAACAAAATTCGAGAACATTGTAAAAGAGTTACTCAAATTAAACAAAGCCAAACAAAGAATTTTGAGTGATAATTATTTTTCTTTGTGACCTCAGGCATACTGAGATTATGCAACAGGTATTTCTTCAGACTGTAAAGCAAGGGACCAACACAAACAGTTTTGTTGTGACTGAGATGATGATGATGATGATGATGATGATGATGATGATGATGATGATGATGATGATGATGATGATGATGATGATGATGATAGCATAAAATGTTATCTTAAACAAATAGTTTCTGCACTTTCATGTAAGCGCAGAAGGGGGGTTCTTTGTCATACTGTAGTTTTTTTTAAAAACAGCTGTTTTCTTTCAGTGGATTAAATTTTCATTTGAAACATTGCCTTGTTTCTTTACTCAGTTTCTCTTTGTCCAAAAGAAATAGGAAAAAATAGAACTGTAAGGGGGGAGATCATTATTTCACAGTGCTGTATGTCTTTTAAATTTTATTCTTCTGCAAAGTTGGCACTCTTATTTACAGAAATGCTACAATTTTGCTTTGTTCCTGTAATAAATGAAAAAAATATATATTTTCTTCTCATTTATCTTTAGATATGGTGACATGGTACCAAAAACCATTGCTGGGAAGATTTTTGGTTCCATCTGTTCTCTGAGCGGCGTGCTGGTGATTGCTTTGCCTGTCCCCGTCATCGTGTCAAACTTCAGCCGCATCTACCACCAGAACCAGAGGGCAGACAAACGTCGAGCCCAGAAGGTAAAGCTCCTGTCTTTATAGAAAGTACGCAGGCTTATTACCTGGTTATGAAGAATGTGAAAAGGTTCAGGGTGAGGTATTCTTTGAGCTTTTGTAGTTAATTAGTAGATTGAGATTTTTAGTTGAAAGTATCTCTATTTGAAAACTTATGCCTATTCTATTCTATTCCCATTCACTCTATTGTTCAGCATAATTTATCATACACGTTATAGCACTGACTAGAGATTTGTTTCCAGTCACTTTCCTGTCACCCTAATTCAATAACCTACCTATTCTTTCTCAGACACACAGACAGATTCACACTTCAGTATGAAGTGCCAAATATTACTCAGCCACTCACCATAGTCCCCCTGTGGGCTTGACCTTTCCACAAGGCTAGATAAGTGCTATTAAGTTAGGAAGCAGCCACTGATAGCTAATTGAGGAGGGGAATGTCTGATTTGAATCTACAGAGGTAGAGGTTGCATTAATGAAGGCACTGATTTGAATCACCTTCACAATAATCTACTGACCTCCCTCACACCTCTGCAATGTAAAGGCGAACTGACTCTGCGTTTCCCAACAAGGTCCGTTATAATTACAGTTTATCTGAAGTGCAGGGAAGTTGAAGAGAAGAGAGCAAAAAAACGGCAAAAAACTTGCCAATATTCAGATTTTCCCAACTAATCAGTGGAAATATTTGTCTTCCATTTGTAAAATAACTTTAAATGATATCTATTTACAAACTAAATGAGAATCTAGCTGTTGAATCATTTATTTAACAACTTTCTATTTCAGCTGACCAATCAGAAAGCTTTAATTCTATAGTCACATTCACCCAGCCGCACATGCATATGTTCGTTCACTTGGGGGCAATTCGGGGTCAAATATTTCTCCCAGGATTACAATAACATTAAAGAGAAGAAGGCAGAAATCAATCACATGTCTTTTAATTAGTAAGGATTGACGCACAGGGCAACAGTGGCCTCGCTTGCAGGAGTTTGTCCTGAAATCGGAGGGTTGTAGGTTTGAGCCCCGGCTCCGGTTTTCAGTGCTGTTTTGTCTTTGGGCAAGGTACTTTACCTGCATTGTCTACTGATGGTGGTCACACACTGACAGAGCCTTGCTACGATTTACCATACTTGACAACCTGCAGCCCTCTCCTATTGAACCAGCATCCTTAGGTGCAACATGCACAGGGTCCTGCCACACCTCTGGCTTCATCAAAACAAACCATCCATTTTCTCAAAAAATGACTTTTGCACATAGAGATCATTATATGCCAGGAAACTATTGGAATCTCTTAACTTGCTCATTCACAATAATTACAGGTAGACCAAAAGAATGCATGGGTTTTTCATGCTGGAGCTTAAGTACAAAATATGTTCTCATGCTGTGAATTAAAAGACTTGCTTTTATATATGGAGGTGAGTAGAAAAGGGAATGCTTCTGTCTTATAATACAATATTCCGCTTACTTTTATCAGGTCAGGGTGAATAGTGAAAAATAATATGTCTTGTCCAGGCAGGTTAAGGTAATAATAATAATAAGGCACCCTCAGCAATAAGAAGTTCGCTGTACAGATCCCCATCACTTTAATTCCTCCAAGCTCTTTTTAACGTGATACTGATAGTGCTACATTGATGATTAAAGTGAAGGTAGAGGACTAGAAAGTGGAAATGATGAGATTGTGAAGAAATATTCGGAATCTGATGTGAGTCCTCCATATTTTGGTGCCTGTATTTTAATAGGACAGCTAAGAAAGGCGAAGGTATTAAAAGTTTATAAGGTAACATAGTATCTGATTATACTCCAAGCATTGAGTTTAGATAGGAGCAAATTCCTACACCACATGTTTATACTATAAGTGTTCAAAAAAGACAATATATTGATCTCTGACTATTCTAAGGAACAGTCTGTAGCTGTAGGCTGAGGAGCCATATATGAGAAAATGTGTGTATTCTCTCTGCCGCTGTACAAGCGCCGTAAACATTTTTCTTTGAGAAGTTTACCATTTACTTTGATTCTCCTGGATTGGTGCACCGATCTGTATCCATATAGGCCTAAGTGTAAAATATTCCCATGTTAAACTAAGTCTGTATACATCAGAGTATTTCCCATAGATGTGCCATACTGCTGATGGACCTGACCAAAATATTATTCACTTACTGTAAGATTAACAGCAGAATTGTTCGAATTTTAAATATGCAAAAAAAATAATATTACACAGTATAATTCAGATTCCTTTATTTGTCCCAAGGGGCAATTTAAACCATCACAAAATATTTAAATTCTCAGCAGCATCACTAAGCTTTGTTGTAGTATATGGTGTTGTGTTCTGTCTCTTAGAAGTGTTAATTGGAAACCAATTTTGTTGAGCTCTGCACAAGGACAAATAAAGGCATTCTGATGCTAACTTAAAGAAATTAAGATCTGGGTGCACTCAGGCAGGATATTCATCCTCCTTTTTACTATTAAATCATTAGGGCGAAACTGAGAAAGCAAGATTATTTTTAAAACATTAGTAATTTGTTTTGTAACAAAGGTATTCCAGAGAAAAGAAGACTTCAATAGCTTATAATGCTTTGCTTTAAAAGAAAAGTCTGCCAGTGCCCCCTGTGTTCATGGGCAAAATATGTAACAGTTTAGAACAGCCGCAAGGTGTCAAGTTTAATGAAAGTTAGGTGAGGACCAAAATGCAAAGATGAAAAGGCAGAAGTTATTTTTTGCTGATATAATGTAGAGGTTGATGGTAACAGAAGAACAAATCCAGAAATGATAAACGGGGAACCAAAAGTAGGAGACGCCAGGGAGAAACATACATGAGGGCTGAATACTAAACCGCCACCTAAGCACTAACCCTTAACTTTCAAGTGTCACTCCCATTAAAGTCACATTCACAGCTGTGGATGGGGGGGACAGTTTCTTTCCTCCAATAGAAAAGGAAAGCAGTCATATCTATAGCAACACAGTGACGCCCCATGAGCGTGGTTGCAGCTCTGTGGCGCAGGCACATGCTAAGTTGTGGTTTTCTGTCATTGTGACAATGATGCAAACCAGCAGAACTTACATTTGGAGGAACCTGTTTCCTCTGCCACCGGGTTGCTGTGAGTGCTCAACGTTAGTGTTTAGGGGTCGGTTTGAGATTTGGCCAAAGAGTGAAGAGGATCCAGCAACGACGAACTGCAGAAGAAGAGTTCAAGAGGAGAGAACAATGAATGGAGTGATTAGCTAATTGGGAGCAGGTGTGGACAGAGGCAGCTAAGGGGAAAGGATATGGGCAACAAGGAGTAAACAGGGCTCAACTGAAACTAAAAAATAACTTAAATGAAGCAAAAGGGAAATAGGATGACTAGAAAACAAAGAATGACCATGGGGAAAACTACAGGATAGTGGATATTTGAAAAACCAACAAACAGGAATATTAAAACTAAGAAGTAATTCAAAACATGATATAATTCTTAACAGTGAAAACTGAATAACAAATCCAAGCCTAACTGGAAACACAAAGTAAAAACTAAACAGATCCAAAGATTCAACAGCGGCAGATCATAACACTAGGGGCAACAAAACCACTCCAAGGGCACCAAATGTCGAGTTCCCTGATCTGAACCAACACAAGTATTAAGGATATCAGATATAATGAAATCTCCCTCTCCATTGCTTTATCCTTGACCTGTATTCTGTTCCTTGGTAGATGTTTTCTGAAATTTGTTATTCTTAAACAAACTTCTAAGCTCTTTCTATATCAACTTCTGATCATGATGAATTTAACTAACTTTCATAATAACGTATTACAGTGGAATGTCTTTTATTTTGCCAAGAAATCATATATATATATATATATATATATATATATATATATATATATATATATATATATATATATATATATATACATATATATATATATAGACCAACAGACAGACTCTTTCCCTTTCCTCTCTCACTTTACATTGTGCACTTAATTGATTTGTATTTAAAAAAAGGAGGTAAACCGATTAGGTTAGGGTTAGGGTATTTAACAAAATGATATTCAGTTTGGTAATAAATTTACTATAGTTTTAAATTGTTGCTTTTTTAGATTAACAGCAAACAGTTTCTGTACAATGATAAAACTCACAGTTGGTTATGATGTTGGATTTTTTTTCTTACTGGAAGGAAGCTTGTTTTTTAGCTGTTGAGAATAACATGAAGCATGAGTCACTCTGCTGGAGTGCTCTGTATTTTCCTCTGACGGTACACTTATGGGGTAAATGTTCACAACTTGGAAATGCTAGCAGGTCAATAGTAAATTATAGTGCTTTTGTAATTTATTTACACCTGAGCAAATATTCTTCACGTCATCTGACTTTTCTTTGTGCCCTGCTTCAAAGAAATAAAACTCAAGGCGAAAAAAAAGGGAGGAAAGATCTGTGATACTAACTCTGTTCATTTCTTCCTCCTCCCTCCTTACTGCTGCTCTGGTCTCCCTGTCGTCTTTACAACTCATTTGTCTCATTCATCTATTACAACAAACTGCCTCTGGCACCTTTAACAATTAGGTACATACCTGTAAATTTCACAACAGAGAAAGGTCTTTTCAGAGACATTTTTTTTTGTCTCTCAGAGAATTTAATGTCGAAAATCCAAATTGAGCTTAATGACATTCATTGTCTGCTGACTATGACAGTGTCTTAGACTTAGCGTACATCGTATTATCATTTCTTCAGATTTATCAACCCCCTGAGGGTCTAACGACACACAAAAACAAACCCTGATATTTGGTCTTATTTTCCCGATAAGTTAATAGAACTTGCAGAAAGGGTTCTTCTTTTATTCATGCATGAATCTGTTTTTGCAGTACGCACCATCAGAGTGATGGTGAGTGTCGAGGCAGTAAATGGATTGAGGTCAAGCTCGTAATGGGACAGCAAAGTCATGTCGAGCTACACTGCAACCTGGCAGGTTGTTGAGCAGGAGAATAAAATTAAAATAAAAAGAGCAGAGACGTGAGGGCAAATCAAGAAGACTATGGGGGG